CTGCTAGATGAGGCAAATACTTTGATTAAAACTGGCAGCTTAAAAATCATCAATTTTAGGGTCTTCAGCATTCTCTCCCACACAAGGACATCTTATGAAATATTTTTTAATTATCTGCAAAACAAAACCAGTGTTTAAGATGCTTCGAAGAACCTGCCCTTCATTTTCTTTACCTCGTAGTTTAAACCGATTGATTAGCAGAGAAGGAAACAATAAAAAAAGAAAAATAAAGCTTCACTCTTCAAATATATTTATATATTTATTCCATAAGCCTTCATACAAACATCTGTTTTGAGTTCAAAAAAATACATTTAAAAGTGGTGAATCATTAAAGGTGCACAGTCATGGCTTGATGCAAAGTCCAAAGGAAAGTTCTGGATTGAGACGATCTGAAGAAAAGCTACAAGTCTTTTTTTTCCACTCTGCGTCTCCAACACCTGAGTTTTACTGGGGGGACAAACACTGTCAGAACTCCTGCAGGTAAAATCACAAGGAAGGGTTCATTTTAAACATCCGCTGGAATAAGATTAAAAAAATTAAAATAAATATAGCCAATATGTTTTAGAGTTTTCCTCTTACATGATGAGGCTGTGGGTGCAGCTGCAATGCAAACTGGAAGTGGGTTGAGGGTGTAAAATAATGTTTTTTAGCGAAAAGGATGGAACCGTGGGGCGTCGTTTCACTCACCAATGAAATTTACGATAATTAAATTTAGTCTGAACCCCTAGGAGCTTATTTGCTAATGCACTTGAGACTGGAGCAAACAGCTCTTGGATATCAGAGAATTACCTCCACGACAGAAAGTTTTTTACCTCTGCACATTTATCAGCCGAGTGGCACATCTAATCAGGCTCAGAACTCCTAGCTGGCTTACTGGAGATAAGCAAACCCACCTGCCCCCACCCCACAGGACCACATGTGTCCCAACATCTATCCAGCATCTTTCATAACCTCAAAGGTTCTCATTGCAAAGTCATGGAGACCAGTTTGGGGCCGGTGGGGGGCGAGGGTCTGATAACCCACAGAAACTGGAACATCCAACCTCTGCTGCACCTGAGCGTCAGGTGAAAATATAAAAAATGATCTAAAAAAAAAAAGCATGTCAAATAATTATTTAATCACCTGTGATTGCACAACTTCAGAACTGACATGCTAACAAGTAGCATCCATGTTTAACTCCATTAACGGGGAGCTGAATGTGACTTCACATCACCTTCTGAGCAGACAGGTCACATCAGGAGGGTTCACACTGGAGTCAGGAGGTAGCATTTGAAATATGAACGTTCATGGCAAAAAGATTAAATTATATTTAAAATTTGCATTTTCTCAAAAAAAAAAGAAGAAAAAAATCAGAATTGAACATTAAAGGTACAGTGTGTTGGATTTTGTCAATTCTTTTACCCGAAATTGAGAAAATCACTCATGACAATAATAAAAAAACATGTCTAATCATTGCAGACAAAGACTTTGTTTTATTATTTTTACATTATAAAAAGCTGTTTATATCTCCACAGTCGCGGGTCGCCACAGGCAGCCGCCATCTTGTCTACGAAGGCTCATGAAGGACAAACTGCGGTGGCGGCGTCAAAAACGCTTTTAGTTGTAATACTATAAATGTAATATTTGTTTTCTATCATTGTAGCTGGGATAATTTTACTTATTAAAGCTCATAATCTTACCACTTGAAACATCACTAGYCCTGAAGCTGCTGGTAGACATCGCGGTTGGAATTATCAAAGGTTTTTGACACCTGAGAGACACCGTAGCAACTCCTTTGCGTTTGGAAGGGGGGGACCAGGGAGGATGATTCAACCACTAGATGTCGCTGAAAACAACAAATCCTACACACTGTGCCTTTAAGACCTGCAGTGTCAATGCAGCCAACCTCACCGTCAGTTATGAAAAGCTGTTTATATCAAAAATAAATTTGACTTTGCATCTTAGGCTGTCTAAACACCTAGAAATTGGTCTCCTTCCTACCGTTTCAGACACTCCCACTTCAGCACCTCACAACAATGCTTTAGGGGACGGGTGCCCTGTTTGCTGCAGACTGAGCTCCAGGGCGGAGCTTTGGGTAAATAGGCGGCGCTTTGTAGCAGCAAGTGTTTAGGCCGCTCCGCATGGCTACAAACATGCATGAATGAGTCCAAGCAACACCCTGGGCATGTTTGAGGGAATGACATAAAAGCTAAACATAAAAAGTCAATTTTGCATAACAAACCCCATTTAAAGCAAGTTGCAAAGAAACAAAGCACCATTTTTTTTAAATCTCATATCAGATTAGTGCTGTGAGGTTTTATATATTTTAAAAAAAAAAACAGCCGAAGCAACTAAAAACAGGTCAACAATGATGGCTGCTGAGTTCAAATTGTCAGAGGATTTTGACTATTGGTATGTTTCTGCTTAAATTTGTAAAGTAAAGGATAAAGTGTTTGTGTTGAGTGCAGACCCACATTTCAGAATTGCATATCAGTAGGCTAAACAGTTAACTTCGCTCACTCATAACCTGCTAACTTAAAAAAAAGCTTCACTAACTAAAGTAAAAATTAGTGGAAGCTAAAAGTCACTCAGTCTGGTCTTTGTCTCAGACTCTGACACAAACTTGACAAAACTTCATTCAGCTGAAACTAACAGGTCCGCTAACATTCTTTTCAAAGTTAGTGGAAAAGATAATCCCCTATAAAAACAGTTCTGCAGAAAGCCCACTTGTCAGTAGCAAACTCTTCAAACTACACTTTTAATATTTATTTCAGACTTTGCAGTGAACACCTGTGAACCTCGACCATCACTTCAGAAAATGCGCCTCCTTGATGTCCTGAGTGCTGTTCAGATGGTTGTCCAGCTCCTGCATCACAGCAACTTTGCCGATCTGGTCGTTCCTCCTCTTCTCCATGATCACGTCCTCCAGGCACTGGAACTCCAGGACGTGGCTCTTCTTCTCGGAGAAGACCAGTTTTAACTTGTACGGCTGCTTCCCGATCCGGATCTCCCCGCCGATTTTGAACTCGCGCCGGCCGAAGCGGCACCAGGCGGCGAAGCACTCCGAGTTCCTCCAGCACAGGTCCCGGTCCGCCGAGCCCACCTGCTCCAGCGCGTTGCGCACCACCACGTCGGGCGGCAGCGCTCTGTAGTGCCGGTACAGCTCGTTCACGATCCGGCCGCGTTTGCCCTGACTCACGTCGGTCAGGAAGTTGTTCTTGACCTCGGCCCGGTGCAGGTGGACCACCTGGAAGTCTCCGACGTAAACGGCCCAGTGGGGGTACTGCCCCGTGGCCACGAACTCCAGCAGGTCTCCCGGTCTGCACTTGGCCAGCAGGCTCTCCGGGGACAGGGTCGAGGCTCGGCCGCTCCTCTCGTACACGCACTCGTCCCGGTAGTAGACGACGCACTCCGGCTCGTCCTCCGGGTCGAAGGGCTTCTCCTCGTGGTTCGCCGGCTGGCTGCTGCTGTCCGGCGGGAAGTGGTCGAAGTGCTCGTCCGGGTCGTCCTGGTCGTCGTCGTTGGAGAAGATGTAGGAGACGCCGATGCGCGCCGCTCCGTCGCCGTCCGGGTCGAAGCCGTTCGGGTCCGACGTCGGCACCTCGGCGTAACTTAAACGCGTCAGCCTCTCCACCTGGTTCCCCATAGGGATGGAGGGGAAACAGGATCCACCTGTTCTGGGGGGGACGACGCTGACGCGTCAGGAGGGAGGCGCGCGCTGCGTCTCAAACTAAATCCCAAAGCGAGCCAATAATCCAAGCGAACCAATAATCCATGTCCTGTCCTCCGGCTGATCACAGAGCTGTCAGGAGACACGCAGGAGGGACATTAAAACACTTCCCAGCTGAGCCAACAGGTGTGACCTGACTCACCTGTTGGCTCACATTTTACCTGTCTGCAGCTGATCCTCTCACTTCTGCTCTAACTCACATTTAATCAGTCCTCGTGAACTCACCAGGCAGGAAACGCTGAACCGTGTCGTCTTTCCGTCCTTCATGAGTCACACGAGAAGAAGAAAAAACAAAAAAACACTTCAGCTCGTCTCTTCATGTGTGGTGAGTTGCTGCACTCTGTGGTTTACTGACTGCTGGATGAAACACTCTGTTGCACAGAAACTCCAACCAGCGCTGGGAGGTGTTTTCATTTAAAGAGACAGTCCACCTTTATTTCCTGCACACATTACAGAGCCGGCTCTTGGCATAGGCGAACTAGGCGGTCGCCTAAAGCGCCATCTGCTGGAGGGGGCGCCGAACTGCAGAAGAAAAAAAAAGTAATTATTTGTAATCCCTGGTTGTAACTCTGCTCAGCGCCCCTTTCAGTTAGCTTTGTCTTAAAAAACTATAATGAAGTATTACAGGAAAAATAAACTACTCTACCCATAAAACATGCAGCAAACGCCCCCACCCTCTCTCTCATTTGATTGACGTTGGACTGACTCGTCCTGCTCCGACACTCTGACGGGGGAGGGTCTAGTAGTGCCTTTCAGGTAGCGGTTCGTGTTGACAAACTCAATAACAACAAGTCTGTATTTTGTTGTCCCGTACATGTCAACCTCTTCGGACATTTACCTGTATAAAACGCCTCAAAGATCCGCAAATTTTGCAAAAAAAAAATCCATACAACTCGCACCCGGGGGCGGAGGGGGAGCAAATAAATCTACCGTATTTTTCGGACTATAAGCCTCGACTTTTTTCCTGAACTTTGAACCATGCGGCTTATAGACCGGTGCGGCTTAAACATGGATTTTTTTCTTCAGCCACCAGGGGGCTCTTATGCTCCATTTGCTTCAACCACTCGCTTCAAAAAAAGAAAGGGGGGAAAAAAGAAAAAAAGCGATCGCTTCCAGAGCCGACTGTTGACCAGGAAGCAGCGATTTAAAGATAGTCAGTGGCCAAAAACTCATAAAAGGGGATAAAACAGACATTTTTCACGGTGGAATCTGACTGATAAAAACTTTGGAGCTTAATCCAGGACCAGTTTGTGGATAAACGTCGTGAAGAGCTGCAGACTTTTTTTCCCCTCATTGCACTCCCCGGGGAAGGAATCCCATGCAGTGATGTATGCTGGAGCGGGAGGGCTATCCCACCACAGCTTCAGAGCCAGCATTACCCCGGGAGGACAGCGACACAGAAAGCAACACTGAACAGATACCGCTATGTGACGCAGCTTTTCTCAGCTTGTTTAACTCCGACACTGAAGAGGAGGACTTCGATGGTTTCAGTGCGCCGGAGGACGATGAATGAGACGTTTTGTTGGACCAGAAACTGTTAAAGAAAACTACCAAAATAAGGTCAGTTAAATGAACCGTATTCCTCTGAACTTTAATTCCTAAAGGTTTGCTTTTTATGTTTTAATGTTGAATTCACTTTTCTGACAGCAAATTTGGGTGTACTGTTTTTTTTATGTTGGGGTGTGGCTTATAGTCCGAAAAATACGGTAAGTTTACCATAGTTCCTTGCACTGTCAAACTTGTTTTAGGGGTTCAAATTGGGGTGGGTGGGACATAGTTTGGGGGGGGGTTGCTCTTCAACTCGCCTAGGGCATCAAAATAGCTAGAGCCAGCACTGCACACATACCTACACATATACTGTAAGCTCAACAGGAAGGAAGGAATGGGTTTCTGTCTTCATCATCATCCTGATTATTTTTACTTTACCGTCCAATTGTTCATGAGATGTTTTGCTGACACGGCAGGCAGGGTTGACTCCAACAATTATTAGTGTTTAAGTTTTAAACATGTGCTCAGAGTCTGTGTTGGGAACAACTCTCAGCTACTACCTCACTAAGTCTGATCTCATTAAATGACTGACTTTAAATCAGTTAGTTATTTTTGTGGCGGTCATCTTGAATCGGATTGACTCTAAAAGTTAATCAGTTGTAGTTGTTGAAGCAATGATTATTTTCTGTGTGTTTTAGTCAAATCAGTCAAGTGGTTTATGAGATATTTTGTTAACAGACACAGGCAAAAGCATCACAGCCCATCTTTTGCCAGTGAGTGATAATAAACTAATCAATGTAATAAAATGTGCAGCAAACTGAAGCAATGTTTTCAACTGAACAGTGCTCACATAAAACTACAGCCGAATCTTTTTGCTTTAAACATTTCTACTCACTTGGAAATAAAATAAATATTTTTTTAATTGTCAGTATAAAACAGGCACACTAGAGATTTATCTGGTTATATTAACTAAAATATGCTTCTGTCACTCTGTGCTAAAATATCAAAAGTAACAATTTGAATACTTTTAAAGTTTGTGTTTAAATAAAAACAATAAGAACAAGACATGAAACTTAAGAGCAACTAAAAACTTTGAGAGAGGAGCTTAAAATCTGAAAATGTCTTGTTTTTGTCAATTTATCAAATTTATATTTCAGACCTTATGAAGTTGTAAGTTTCTGATCAGTTTTTATTTTCTCCTTTTTTGCAGGTGTGCAGACAGATGCATGTTGTCTTATTTTCTTGATGTATCTTCTAATCTCTCTTTCAGTCTTTCTCCTTTTTTCTCTTTCTTTTTCTTCTTCTCTGTATTATAAAGTCACTGATGATGAAGAAACTAAAATTCATTTCTGTATTCTACTGAAGTGGCTTAAAAAAGAAGAAAAAAAGGAAGTTTCTGATCAGAAAGGTTTTAAATGACTAATATCTTACCTGTTGCAGATAAGTCTCTGATGACATCAGATTGGAGAAATTTTGAGAGTGTTTATGGCTCCATTTGTAGCTTATCTGTTCCACTTCTGTCAGTTTGTATATCAGTAATATAAGAACACAGGATGCTCTGACCACTGACAAACAGATTAATGCAGAGTTTGAAGAATTTATTGTTGATTTTTTTGTTTTGCTGAAAGTACTTACCTATTCAACGAGCTCAATGTTAAGTAAACTCTACTGTTTTCTAACTTGGTACACAGTTAAGGTGGTCCCAACATCATTCCCAGATCAGGGTTCTCCAAAGTAAAAGAGACTCATGATTTGGACTGGATAGACGAGCTAATGGCTAGTCAAACAAGATGGTGGATTGCTGCCATCTTGAAAAAACTTTCGTTATAAAACATTTTTAGAGTTTCACAAAAGCACTACATACAGCGGGTAAAATAAGTATTGAACACGTCACCATTTTTCTCAGTAAATATATTACTAGAGGTGCTAATGACATGAAATTTTCACCAGATGTCTGTAACA